CATGACAGATTGGTCAAAAATGAGTATGTCTTGGCATTGGCTTCCAATTATTTGTAATTTTGTGCACTATGGAGATGCTTTTGCAATTTTTATGCACCTTTAAGTATTTTCATCTTTTTTATCAAAAGGGGGGGAGGAGTAATTTTTTGTGTGTGAACTCTGGGAGGGTTTAAAAAATCTGTACATTTCTGACCACTTTGTTTCAATATTCTTCTCCAAACATGTCACTGAGTGTGCATTGAGATTGCACGTAACTTCTATTGCTTCAATCTTGAAAGCAGAAATTGTTTGAAATTGTAGCAGTGTGATGACATAGAAGGGTAAATGTTATGCTTAAAATGTTGCTGGAAAAACTTACATTAGAGTAAAATGCATATACAATGGGAAAAGAGAAAAACATGATTAAAATGAAAGAAGTAGACATCATTGATAGAATACAAATTAATTTTAAAATATAAAAAAATCTTTAGAAAGTGGAAAGTGTTATCTGAATTATTTTTAGAGTTTTGAAATTTGCCTTTAGACAAATCACCTGGAGCTAGAAATGAAACTAAACATTCATGAGCACAAACAAAAGCATTATGGTTAAAAGAGAATTGTTTAAATATAGAAGGAACAGAAATACAAAAATGCATAGGTTGCAAACACCTCTAGTGTACAAAGAACATATGTGGAAGTACATAGTGTCTGGAAATACCTTTGTCATTTCAACTCATTCACTCATGACCTTGTCAACTGCCTCCAATTTATTTTTTGTATAAATTACTTAGCAGTTAGCAGGTGTGATGCCTAAGTATCCACAAAAAAACCTTACATATATGTTCTGTTTCTGTGGAAGTAACAAGACCTTCTCTACCATCCATGAATAACAGGGGCGTGTAAGTTCAAATTCCCATAGGAGGAGCTTGGCTAGCATTTGATATGTGATTTGAGTTAATAAAATAGATTTTATTTGGGGCTTACCAGTTGAATTTTATCTTCATGGACAAAGTTACAAATCGGAGAAAATGAATTAAAATTCATTTCCTTGGAAATGTTGTTCTCGGATCCTGCAATGGACAGATGGAACTCCCATTTATTCTTTGTTTTCTTTTGTCAGCAATGGCGGCAGCTTTGTCGCCCGTCTGTGTGCCTTTGCTTCCTCCTGGTTTCTGGAAGTGGCAGCATGTCACAGAGCAGCACAAGACTAATGACAGCGATTCTGGGCAGCTCTGACAGTCAGAGACACGCCGCCGTTTCCAAAGAATGCTCCTTTCAGAAACGGGAAAAAGAAAAAAAAACCTGTTTAACTTTCTAGAAAATGAGTCGATTCCTTAAAATGAAAGACAGCATTAAGAAAAAAATCATCTTTCCTTAAAAATTAAAATTGTTTTGAGACATTTTTGATGATTTAAATAAAATTCAGTTTCTAAGACAGTATTGAGAACTCGTTCCTTTCTAAAAAAAAAAAGTTTTACTTCAAACAAATCAGATATAGCATAAAATCCACAGTTATCCTTATATGAATCACATTCTTTTAAGTACCCCAATATTCAAATGTTAAAACTGGGTATAGAAAAGCAGAGCTCTCGTTATGTGGTCCTGTGGCTTTAGTGTCATACGCTGAGATGGCTGAGAACATTCCATTCCATAATCAGTAAACATTAACTTAAGAAAAGTTTACAGGAAAGTGGAATGCAGTTTGACAGCGGATCTCAGAATAGTGTTCCTGTAATATTAATCAGGCATGGTAACTACTGCCTAAGAATACAGCTTGTTCCCACTGTCATCCCTCTGCTATTATACTCAGTTCTCAAGTACTTATAAATCTTCTCTATTGTGGAAAGTATTTTAAGAAAGATAATTCATCACTCTGACTTTCTTGAGGAATCAACTAGGAAAGGTGTAATGCAGAATAGTCTTTCTATAAATAAGAAGACAATTGATAAACTAGAAGAAAGTAAAAAGTGACAGTATCACTGGGTAAATTTTAGGCATCTATGGAGGGTTACTGGTTAGAAAGTTTGTGTGTGTGTGTGTGTGTGTGTGTGGTGTGTGTGTACTCTAAGATGATAGATAGATAGATAGATAGATAGATAGATAGAAATAGATGATATTAATAGATAGGGATGATAGATGACAGATATAGAGATAGAAGGATAGGATACACAGGCAGATTGTAGAGGATAGCTATAATACTCTATATTCTAGCTCTGTAGTGACTGAGATCCTTTTTTTTAAAATTGAAAATCATAAAACAAAAAGAGTTGGGATAATAATAGCATTTGCTAATGTTAGCAGCTTCTCAGGATTCCATAATAGATACATTAACTTGGGCTAGTCCACATTGTGAAATAGAATATTAGAAAAAACCAAGAAACTCTCACATGGACACCCACCATTTAATAACCAACAACAAAACGTTATGACTTTTATCATCCTATCTTTATTTCGGGTTACCACTTTGTAAAAGCTGAATCTTTTGTGTCTGACTTTCGTCACTCGACGTCATGACCCTTGTTGTGTGTGGCAGCTCCACTCTCCCGATGGAATGTTTCATTTTGTGATTAGACCACAATTCATTGATAACATCTACTCTTCAAGGATATTCGGGTGGCTTCCAGCTTTTGACGCTTAGAACCAGGACAGCTATAAACACTCATACACATTCACCGAACTGAGTGGGTTCATGGGCTGCAATTCCAAAAGCATGTTTTTCCCTAAACGGCAGTTTCCAGCTTCAGTTTTTTCAACTGGGATACAGACATTTGTGAAGCAATTGGCGTGCAGGATTTATTGAGATTTTTATGGTTCCCCTGCCCCTCCCCACCATTCTTTTACTGGGTTCTGGCCTAGGAGTATTTTGAAAACCATTTTAACTGGCGTGCTCACATTTATCTGTGTTGCTAAATATTTGACTTAGTTTTTATAAAAACAACCATCTTTGTTTCACATTAATAATTTTTTATCTGCTTAATATTTACTGAAACAACTAGGGTTTGAAGCAGGCACAACTGCGTGTTGGAGGCAGAAGCCTGTGAGAGCAGACTGGTTTCAAACCCCCACCCTGCTGTGAGCACCAGTCAGCGGGCATCTCAGCGGAATGGAAGGCCTGTTGATTGCAAAAGGCAGGCCTGTTTTGGTTTTCTTGAATTTTGCTATTTTACTTTATTATCCTTTCTTTTTTTTCTTCAGCATATGCTCTTTTGGTAAGCTGCCTAGGAAACAAGGTGGCCACGAAGGAGGCGTAGCTCCATAGGGGAGGAAGGAAACACCTGCCTATGTGCGCCTTCCTATGCAGTTATTCCTGTCAAACTTTACATTTCAGGCCACCTTCGGAAGCCCTGTATCTTCCCCCCAACTGCTTCTCTCAGCTGCGAGGTGATGCGAAGCAAGGAACTCAAGCGGTGTTCTAGCAGTACAACTCCAACAGAAAGAGCCAGGAAGGTAAACAAATGGCTTCCACGACGATACCACAAGCTCCAACTCTGTGCCAGATCAGCGGGCCTCGCACTTTTCCCCCCTAGCGTAGAGGTGATGATGTAAAAATACCTTGGCATCAGTGAAGGTGTCTTTTTATTGAACAAATAATAGCTAAAATGGACAGAGCACTTCATATGTGCCAGGAAACGTTCTGCTTACTTCATTGTCCTGAACTTATTTAACGCCCCAAACAATCTTTGATGCGTTATTGTTATTCATCCCCATTTCACAGGTAACGGAAACATAACAGGTTTTAGTCATGTCCTCACTGGCACTCAGCCTAAAAGACTGAGCTGGGGTTAAGTAATGGACCTGGGAGGTGACTCACCGCAGACGGACGGCTGTTCCGTGGCTTCCACCAGATTCCTGAGCACAGGGTGATGCTCTCGTGATAGTAACGGATGGATCTGGGGGGTTGAATGGGTTCCCTACAAAGGTTGTGCCCCTGTCTTAATGCTCAGAATCTTTGAGAGTTACCTCATTTGTAAAAAGCTTTCTGCAGATGTCATGAAGTTAAGGATCTTGAGATGCGATTGTCCTGGATTATCTGATTGGCCCTAAATGCAATGACAAGTATCTTTATAAGGGACATGCAGAGGAGAAGCCGTGTGAACGTGGAGGCGGGGACCCGGGTGATGCCACCATTACTCAAGGAACACCCACAGGCCCCGGAAGCCGGAAGAGGCGAGAACTAGGCTCCCCGGAGCATGCAGGCAGCACCCTCGGCCAGCCCTGGATTCGGGGCTGTGGCTCAAGAACTGTGGGAGAATCTAGTCCTGTGTTAATTTGTTAGAGTGGCCACAGAAAACATACAGTATAAGAAATAAATAAAAAGAACTGAAGAAGCAGATTGAGAGGCAGAGACATTTGCATCCATTAGTATTAGATTTTTACATAAAAATATTTCAACTCTCATTTCCCTGGTGAATATTTTTACCCACCTCTGAGATAGTCACTGATATAAACTTGCATGTTATTTTTAAGAATTTGTCATTGTCTATTTTTAATGCAGTAATTTCCTAAAAGGAATACATAAAATCGTCCAAATCAAAGCAAATGTAGTAATAATCAGGGTACATAGCATCTTCATCTTGAGCAGCTCGCTTGAACCCCAAGTTAAGAAACTTGGGGTCTCTATCACTCATCTCAGCTACATTCATTGATGGTTTTTTCCTCTAAGTTTTGGAATAAAGAAGTGGAATCTCGTGGGGAAGATCTGTGAGCCCCTTCAACTGACACTCAAGCTCATATGACATCGAATTCTGTGTTTCGCCTCTCTGTGTGCCTTATCAGCATTTACCGATAGCAGACACAGTGACCAGGTGACCGGGGCTGCTGGAACAGGCTTTAGGGACTGGTCCCCTGATTAGGGCTCAGTCTCACTGAGCCTGTGTCTCTGGGCTGTGAGCCGCACACGTGTTTCTCATTGCTTCCGTCCCGCTCAGGTGGGAGAGGGTGGGCGGGACTGGCTGGGACTGCGCACTTCCTGCCCAGGTGAGTCAGGTTCTGATAAAATCGCAGCAGGCCGGGCTCCGGGTGGTTTCTGCTGAGATCAGGCCGCGTTGAGGTCCTGGCAGCACTGGGTCCGGGGTGCTTTGTGCCCGAGTCTGATCGGTGAGTTCCTCTCTGTGCTCCTCTGTCGCTCTCCCCAATCTTGGGGGCAGTGGTTCCCTGTTTCCTCATCTCTCCTGGGGATCCCAGAACTGTGGGTGTTTCAGTCCCTGAGCTGTTGGCATCCCAGCTCTTGTGTTTGGGACCGGAGACCCAGCCAAGTGTTCCTTTTTTCTCCCCTCTTAGAATTCCCATGTCTGCGCCCATTACCCAGGTGTCCTGGGCGCTGCCTGCTTTCCCATCAGAGCCCTTAGCATATTGACCAGATTTGGTAGAAATCCCTGGTCCGATAATCCCAGCACCTGCCATGCTGGTCTCCCGTGGTTCGGTCTCTTCAGCGTGTTTTTCACCTTGTGACCTCCGGGTGACGTGTGTTTGGCAACTTGGGGGGAAAGGCAGAGTCGTAAAGAGGCCACAGTGATGTGAGGAATGGGGAGCCCTCCTGTGGTCCTAGGGTGATAACTAGCCTTTGGGGAGCTGCCCCCCTGAACTGTGAACCTTACCAGGGCCTCTCACCCCCCTCCCCCCTTCCTGGGACAGGCTGGGTGGGGGTGTGGAGCTGGCCTTTTCTCCCCATGTGACATTAGAGCCAGCTGCAGTCGGGTGTCCTCGGCCCCAGGGGGGTCAGGCTCCGGTCAGACTGTTCTCCAGAGAGCAGCCCTGGTTAGAACCATGGAAGGTTCCAGCACATTTCAAAATGGCTCCTTTCCTCCCTGTGCTAAAGGGGGTGAGGGGGTGGCTTGACTCTGGTGGTTACTGAGAACCTGGCCAGGCTCCTGGAGGTAAAACTCCTCCATGTCTGGGTGCCCAGGAGGCTGTAAGTCAGACCTGTCCTCACAGAGCCTCAGAGATCAATTCTGTTTCAGGTCCTGCCGTCCTGACACTGCTTCCCGCAGCGGTTCCGGCTCCTGACGTTCTGCTCCGGTGAGTAGTGGTTTTCCGTGTCTGTCTCTGCAGTTTGGGGCCAGGGTGTTGCCTGGCAGCCTTGCTTCTCTTAGGGATTGAGGAAGAGTTGGTTTTTCGGTCTGTTCAGATTTCTACCTGATAGAAGGAATCGGAAGTCCCCCCGGTTGGATTAATGTTGACACAAATGTAGTCACATAACAAACAACCCAATAAAACTCAGAAAGATTTCTATCAGTCCTGAGAATTCCTCAGTGCTCCCACCCAGGCCACTCCAGTGCCCACGCAACGGTTCTTCTTGTCGTTATCACTGTAAGTTGATTTCGCCTGTTGTTGATATGCACACAGTGGAGGCCCACGGTCGTTTTCTGGGTTGGGCTTCACTCGCTCAATAGGATGTTTTTGAGATTCGCCTGTGTTGTTCCACGTGCTAGTGCATTGCTTCTTTTTACAGCTGTGTATCATTGCAGGAACATACCACATGCATTCGTTCTCATGTTGAGGACGGTTGGTTGTTTCCATTGCTACATAATTTAGTCATTGTTAATTTCCAGTGTTTAGTTCACGTTGCTGTGAACATTGCAAACGTATCTGTTTGTGGACACGTCTTAATTTCTCTAGGATAAATGCCTCAAACTGGGATTTCTAGGTCACAGGGTGGCAGCATGTTTAACTGGCTAAGAAGCCTCAGGCTGTCTTTGTAAATGATTGAACCATCTTAAATTCCTAGGAGAATAGGAAGAGTCCGTGCCCTAATCAGTTCTTGGAGTCTTCAGTCTTTTGAATTTTAGTTATTCCGGCGTTTCTAAACTGGTGGTTTTGATACACAGATCCCTGAATACTAATGCTATCAAGGGGGGCTTTATGGGGCCGTTGCCTTTTTATGCATTGTTAACTGTATTATATATTCTGGATTCCATTCCTTAGATACATATACCGAAATATTTTCTTCCTGCCTGCACTTTCCTTTTTACTTCTTAAGTATTGTCTTTTGATGAACTAAAATGTTTACTTTCGATGAAGTAGAGTTTATCAGCTGCTCATAGTACATTTTGCATCCTCAGGTGTCCTTGTCAACCCAGTGGCCTCAGACACACTGTTCTGTGTTTTCCCAGAGAACCTGTAGTTTTCCCTACACCTTTTATGTCTGGAATCCCTTGTGAGATAATTGTGTGAGGTGGGAGGTTGGAGTGAAGTTCCCTTTTTTCCACAGATTTATTCTGTTGTTTCATATTATCTGTTGAGAATACACTTTATTTCTATTCCCTGAATTTGTTTGGCACTTTGGTTGAAAAACAAACTGTGATTTCTCGGCTTTCCATTCTGTAACATTGATATTTTTGTCTAATTTTATGCTGGTACCACAGTGTCATGAGTATAATTTCTCAATAGGCATTGATCTATGACAATGGCAATCCTGCAACCTGGCTCTTCTACTTTTAAAGATGATTTTTCCTATTCTAGGACCTCCGCCGTTTCCACACTTATGTTAGAACTGGGTAGCCTATTTTTACCAACAAAAAGCCTGTTGAAATTTTCACTAAATTGCACTGTCTTTCTCGGCCAGTTAGGTTAGAATGTGTGCTGTTTTGTGGTTTTCACTGTAAAAGCTTGGCAGGTACAGGCAGAACTTGGTGGTCCTGGGGTTCGGTTCCAGGCCACCCCAGTAAAGCGAGCATCACGGTGAAGTGAGCCAAGATCTGTCTTAAAGTCATCTCCATAAATCAGAAATGTCCCCTCATTGAACAACCCTGGTGTAAACTGGCACAGGTTGGGTCAACCACGGGTTTGCTCTGCGAACCCTCTTATCTGCTGCCAGCTAAGTTTAAATCCTGTCTTTTGTCATTATACTCTGGAGAGTTTCTGACCACGTACTGAGAGGCGGTGGTGCGGTGTCAGGATGGTGAGAAGGACTTCTTCCCTCGGGAGGCCTCGTTGGAGCCGCCCCCTGCCACTGGAACACTCGCAGTGGCCCATGGGCCTTGCTACCGCTCCCCGCCCCCCCCCATTACAGCGCTGTCTTGCTGGGTGTCCCTCCACATGTGACAGCTCCATGTGCGCCGGGACCCTGATTCTCCATCTGTTACCCTGCACGGGAATGGTCAGAGCTGATGGATGACCGGGTGCTGTGTTCATCCCAGTGATGACCTTGGCAAGTCTTGCCTGAGAAGCTTGGAAACTTAGTCTGTGATAGACATCACTTGGTATCCTCCCTGTCTCTTCTGAGGTGACAGTCAGTGCCCTGTCCAGGGAACTGCATGCAAATGGTGCCCCTGCTTACCCCCCAGTTAGCCCACAAGCACTTCCTGTCGCATGGCTTGGACACCCGCGAGAAGAGAGGTAGTGTAGTAAACCACAAATTAAACCCAGTGTGGTGGATGGTGAGAAGAAAGCGAGATCTGGGGCTGCGTTCCTGAGGCAGAGGTCCCTCCAGTGGTCGTGTGGGCCTGAGGGCAGGAAGGAAGTGATGAAGGGGTTGGCTTATACTCGGTGATATAGGAAGCACTGGGTGGCTTTACTAAAAGGCTCTGCTTAATGGGACTAGTGATTCTGAGAAATCCTGATATTTGGACATAATGATTTACATTAGGACAGGCAAGATTACAGTACAGTGGAAAGCTGGCCCTGAATCTCCCTGTCAAATGGAATTCTGCTGTCATTGTCTTTGCTCAGACGCGGGCAGACAGGGTCACCTCTGTCTGGGCAATGCTGGTGGTCGTGCAGAATAGAGAGAGCATGGCGGACCATGGCACGTTCCTGGCATTTCTGCTGAGAGCTGGCCTGTGTCACTTCCATTCAGCCTTCTCATAAAAGCAGATCACCTAACCAAGCTTGAGGTTTGTGCAACAGAGAAGTAACAATCCTTCTGAAGATAGGAGGTGGTATTCTTGAGCGAGAGTGTACCAAATAAAGCCAATGTCGCTGAAGCGCTTCAATAATTAACTGTTGTAGTACTTGAGATTGCATGGCAACATGCCATATTAAAAGGCAACGTATTTTTAGTCCCTTTACCCGACTTGGGTTTGGTCTCATTCCTACAACTGATAATATATGTATATAATATATGTGAGTGTCTATGTATATACTTAGGAACATTCTATGCAGTATCTTTTAAAATCTGCCATATTGGTCCGACCGAGTGGCTCAGTTGGTTAAGAGCTCGCTCAAGAGTGTGAGCTCTGAGCAACAACAGTTCAATTCCCAGCCCGAGCTGAGCTGCTGCTGAGCTGCCAACAGGTGGCAGGATGGCTCAGCTAAATAAATAAATAAATAAATAAATAAATAAATAAATAAATAAATAAATAAATAAATAAATAAAATCTGCCATATTAATATTAAAGAAATTCATAAAATACCAAGGGTTTTCCTATGTTCTCTCAACAGAGATTCTGCGTTTATGTAATTAAAGATCAGATTTGGGAAAAGGGGAAATAAAAACTATGGTAATCTACAAAAAATATGGCAAACAGCTCTGGATGTTTGGAAGATGTGTTCTTTTCCAATGTGACATAACTGCTGACGTAGGGCTGGGCACGTGGCTAACGAGGGTGGGGACCCCATTTCTCATGCTCCTTTCAATCAAATGTGGATATATGGCAAAATTTTGGCCAAAGATAAGTAATAGGAAGTGTCTCATGGCAGCTTCCATAAGCTCAAAAAAATAAAGGCATCTACCCCCTTTCTTCTTTATTCCTTAATCCCACTGCCTTCCACGTAGATTCTTTTCTGAACCATGAAGACAAGGGGCGCGTGCCAGGGATGGTGGGGCAGGGAGCATGGGTTTTGTACACATGAGCCTTACATGACTCCTCTGAACCCAAACTTACGTGAGAGCAACGTCAACCCCTATTTTCTATTTTAGAACATACCTAAAAGGGAGCAAAGAAACACCCTCTGGTCAGAAATGTATGTTACTATTTTATAGGGGAAAAATATTGTCCAAAAACCATATATCAAGTGGCCTCAGTCTTCAATTGTTTCCCTTTCTTATGGATAAAAGTAAGAGATTCTGAGGTTCCAGGCCCTTTTAGTTTTAAAAAAAGCTGAGAAGAGCACTCAATGGAAGACATTTTCATTCTGACACAGAATTCAAAGAAAATACTTTGTCATTTAAAATAGACTTAGTAATCATTGGCTTTCTTTGTGTAGATTATTATACATTTGAAACTTGAATGACAAAGATGAGAGAAAGCCCCAATTCACTGCATGATTGACAGCCAGCTCTGTGGTTCAGTCCTGAATCAGTAGCCTGACTATCACCAATGTCATTCAGTTCATCAGGACTGGAGACAGACAGAAACTACCAAAACCAACTGGCAAATGCCTTAGAATAAATGCCGTTTGGGTGATTTTATAGAGAAATATATTAAAAGTTAGCATTTTTAATTCAGCCACAAGTGGTATATTTTTATTTGCACAAGTAGAATGAAATGACGGGGTTTGTGCGAGGCAGGGCCATCTCCTGACAAGAAGCTGTGGCATTTGGTATTACAGGGGGAGCTAAACATTAAATGGAGAGATTCCATGGAGACCAGATTTCCTTCCTGTTTCTTCCTGATTTCCTTAACACTTCCTTGAAGTTTAGTTTAGGTAAAACAACATTTTTAGCTTTGCTTTTTGTTTGTTTGTTTTTTCTCCCATCTCCTTTGGCCACACACACTGAATTTTCTAGAATGTCTGGTTATACTAGTTTTAGTGAGTAGAGTTAGTTAATTCCGACTTTAACCAATTATTATCTCTGTTCTAAGAATCAAATGGTAAATCTTGACCCTTTAAAATGTATGACTAGTGTCTTGATGACTATTGATAAGCAATTCTATGAGTTATAGCACAGTTCATTCTTTCCAGCTTTAAAATGGTAGCCCCTAGTTATAGCAAGTGAAAGATAATTTCAAACTTCAAGATTTAATTGTTGCATTTTGGTGGTATTAATTTTATATTCTCTCTCTCTCTCTCTCTCTCTCTCTCTCTCTCGCTCGCTCGCTCGCTCTCTCTCGCGCGCACACACACACACACACCAT